TATATTTGTATAATATATAATATGATCTCAAACTAAATAATTATGTTTTTTGGTATAAAATTGAATAAACTGAAAACCGATGGTATATAAACCAAATCAAACTGAAGTACATATAGATTTAGAGTAGTAGTTATATTTTAATGATCGAAATACCAAAAAATCGAGCCGAACCGAAACCCGATATCCGGATTGAACACCTTTAATCCGAATGAAACCAAACTATTGTTTCATTTTTCAAAACATAATAGAAATAATAGCTTCATCCCGCGCCTTGCGCGGGTCTTATCCTAGTTCCACTTTAAAAACCAAGTATGAATCAAGTAGGAGTACAAGCTCGATAGTAATTAATTGTGCCCACCCCTACTCTAACTAATCAGAGTGATTTTTCACGGGGTACAAAATGTTGAGGGACATGGTTTGCAAAATAAGAAAGAATTGGTGACGTCATTTCGAGAAACCTCATTTTCCGATTTAGCACCGGTGTGACGGTCTCAAAACCCTCGATCGATCGCCAGTGTCAGTGTGTTCCATAAAATGAGAGGAGGTATAGGAAGAAGATTGTCAAACCCTAACAATGGCTTTACCCTTGCATCCATAGTCAACCACACTCCATTTCTCATCCAACCTACTTCTCACTTCTCCTCTTCCTCCGACGGCACTGGCCGTGGCCGTGGACGCGGTGGTGGAGATGGAGGTTTTCCCGCCGCTGGAAGGGGACAGTTCGGTTTCAATCCTGAACCGGAAAAGGCTAAAGAGCTGCCGGTGGCGGCGCACGTACGTGGCTCATCGGAATCGCAATCTGCGGGAGGATATGGTCATGGTCGTGGCCGTCCGATCCAATCTGATCCGATGATTTCTCCTCCGTTTTCCTCATTCGCCAGATCGGAGTCCTCTAGCGTTTGCCGTGGAAGAGGTTCCGTTTCACAGCCGCAGCAACCGCGTTTTCAACCGCACTCGCCTCCTGTGTTTGCGAAGCTGCAGGATAATATTAAAGAAGAATCTTTGTCACCACCAGAGTCTAAGAGCATATCAAATGCTTTAGGAAGTGGAGGAAAACCTTTTGTGCAATCCGCTCCAACAGCGGAACATGAAGAAAACCGCCACAATCGCCGCCCTCAGCCACCACCGCAGCGACAGAGGCGAGTTCAACCTCCCAAGGATGCAACTCCCCGTCCACAATTGAGTCCGGAAGAGGCTGGTAGAAGAGCAAGGAGCCAGCTTTCCCAAGGTGAAGCTGAAGGAAGCGGTGGTGTAAGAGGGAGGGGAAGGGGACGAGGAAGAGGAGCAAGAGGGAGAGGCAGGGGGAGAGGTGGTGAAGCGTGGAGAGATGATAAGAAAGAAGAGGAAGCTGAACAAGAGGCTTTGAGTATATTCCTTGGAGACTCTGCTGATGGAGAGAAGTTTGCTACGAAAATGGGAACTGAGATTATGAATGAGTTAGCTGAAGGTTATGAGAGTATCTGTGAAAGGGCTTTGCCTTCTACTGCTCATGATGCCTTGGTTGATGCTTATGACACTAATCTCATGGTAAAGTTTCTGTCTTTCTTTTTTTGTTCTCTGATATGATTATCTTGAAATTTTTAATGCTGACATTGAAACTTCAACTAGTATTAGGAATAGTGATTAAAGAAGGAAGCGATGTCCCTAATATTGATTCATACGCGTTAATGTGATAGAACACATGATATAGATCCTAGGTTGTGGTGGCCTTGAAGTTAGGGCTTGTATGTTCTCAGCCTCTGAGGGTTTTAGTCTTTTCATTGTTACCTTCGTCTTTCACCCAAGTTGTTTGGCTTTGCATGAAAATGGATGTGTTGTGAGTCTCTCTGTCTCTCTTGTAGATCGAATGTGAGCCAGAGTATCTGATGCCTGACTTTGGATCAAATCCTGACATCGATGAGAAGCCACCACTGTCTCTGGCTGAATGCTTTGAGAAGGTGAAGCCTTTCATAGTGGCATTGGAAGGAATTAAGGATCAAGAAGAATGGGAGGTAAACATGTTCACTTTGTGAATTTTTCCTTTTATGCGTCCAGACAATGTTTTAATATTGTTTTTCGGTTGATATCTTGATTTTGTCACTTTTTTGCAGGAAGCAATTGATGAAGTGATGACACAAGCACCCCTTATGAAAGAGATTGTTGATCACTACAGTGGTCCTGATCGAGTAACTGCTAAGACACAGAACGGGGAACTCGATAGAATTGCTACAACAGTTCCTCAAAGTGCACCAGATTCTGTGAAACGATTTGCAGATCGTGTTGCTCTTAGTCTTAAGGTTTGATTTCTGTAACCAACCCCAAAAGATCTTTTATCTAACATCACTCTCACTCTCTTTCGTTAGATATATCTATATCTTAAAGAGGTATTGATGTTCCTACCTGAATCGTGGGCAATGCAGAGTAATCCTGGTTGGGGATATGACAAGAAGTACCAGTTCATGGACAAGCTCGTTTTAGAGGTGTCACAGAGCTACAAATAGCGTTTCAAACTGTTTTTTTCAAGGCTTTATCGCTGCATTTGAGTTTAGATCGAATTCTTGATCTTGCCCCTACTTGAAACGGTATCCATCTCTACAAAACAAGTACTCATGAAGTGGAGGTTTAGCATTTTTTTCTTCCATATGTTTTCAGGGTTTCTGTAATAACGGCTTTATTCTTTGGATCATTGTAACTCAAACAGATTATACTTGCCCTTTTTCAGTAACGGGTTTCAATGTTTAAGCCTGCCTGTAGTCGGGATAAGAATGATTCTTGAGTCCTTTTAGGGTTCCGGTGACTAATACAGAAAAGGAGTTAAAGGAGCATTAGAATTCTCATTGTTTATACAACTTTGTACAATATGGTCTGGATGTTTGTGGTACTCTGAACCTTTTTAGTCGATATGATACAACCACTGCTTGGTTCTATTTCCACATATTGTTTATGGCTATTGGGTATAGTATTAAAATAAAAAATTGGGTATAGTATTAGCAATTAGCTTATAAATATTTTGGATAATATAGTCAACGTCTCAATGAGAGTTATTCAACTTTTCACAGTTGTGTGTAGGTACACGAAACTGGTCTCCTATGAATCTGAATGAGATAAGGGTTACATTCACTATCAGCACTGAAATTTCTTCTGCAATTTCTTGTATTGTTTAAAAATAAATAGACCATGGATTTGTGTCGTAAGCTTACATATATACATACAGATTTCAAAGCCAACGAATATTTATAGTTAGATATCTCTATAAAATTATTTGAGAAGTCAGTTTCCTACGTGTCGCGCTCACATTAACTCTCGCGATGGTTGATTACATATATACCTTTAATGAATTATTAGATTTTAATATTATTATTTTTTTTAATCTTTTTCCAAATAACATATATAATAAAAATTAAATATTTCTAAAATTTTAAAACAAATTTTAGAACAAAAATATATATATAATAGGACTTTATTAAAAAGGAAAATTCACAAAATAGTAATACTCCCATTAATATATATTTTAAATAACATAAATATATTTTTAAAATAATAAAAATATATATATGTTCATGAACATCTAAAAATTTATCAGTTACACTTTATTTTCTAATATTTTTTTAGAAATCAACATATAATTTGATAAATATTATGAAAACTAGGTGATCTTCCCGTGCTCATGCACGGACATAACTATTTATAAAATAAAAACTAATTTATATAATTTACATTAATAATATTATATTACTTTAATTATTTATATGATTTTCGATATGTTATATTTAGTCGATTTTTTTTTGTTTTATAGTCGATTTAACATTACATATTGGACTCCATCTATTTCTCTGAATTCAACTATAAACTTTTATTTTATTTTAAATATATTAAGTTTTTTATATTGTCTTAAAAATATTTCAATAATACTAATTATAATTATTATTTTTCTGTTGATTACACATATATCAGTTTATGTTACTTAATTATTTTATGTAACTAATAAAATAGATAGATATATAAAAACAAATTTTATTACTTTGAAAAGATATATATTTTATTTTTTATAATTATTTTTGTAAAGAAAAAATATTTATTTTTCTAATATCATGAAGATTATGTGTGAAATGTTTTTTATGAAATCACATTATCTACAAATATTTTTTTTTATCTAAGAAGATATAGATTTAAGGAAAGTATTTTATTACTTCAAAATTATATTTTATGTTATTTAAAATATATTTAAATTAAATATTACTATTTTTTTGAATTTTCCATTTTCATGAAACCGTATTTATGTATACTTATATTTTCGTTTTTAAATAGTTTGTAAACTTTATACATGTTTCCTTTTTATTTTATATTGTTATATGGAAAAAAAATTATAAGGAAATAATAATATTTAAATGTATTTTTTAATTCATTAGGGGTATCATAGTAATCAACCAGCGTGAGAGTTAACGTGAGCGTGACACATAAGAAATTGACTTCTCAAATAATATTATAGAGATACATGTATATTTAAGCGATAAATAAAACTAATTTGATTTGACTTAACTAAAATAAAGAGTGAATAAATATCATGAAAATACATGTATATTTAAGCGATAAATAAAACTAATTTGATATGACTTGACTAAAATAAAAAGTAATTATACTTCAATTTTAATTTAAAAATATATTTAACTCAATATACTCACAAAGTCAATGACTCGACTGATCTAATTTATATCCAAAATTAAACATTTTATAATTTTATAATAATAATATATTTAATTTTATACATATAAATTAGAGGTTGACTCAAAGCGTATTAAAAAAAAAAGAAAATATTAACCAATTTATATGCATGATACTTTAAAATATTATCATTATATTCATTTATGTAGTTATGAATTAAACACTTCAGCTTATTATTTATTTCATTTTAAGCACAATATATATTAATATATACATAATTTAACTATAATATATTTACATATCTAAAGACAATAATCAACCGTAATAAAAATAAGAAAATTAATCAATTTTTTATTCTATTTAGAATTAAAATATTATAGCTGAATTTGAAAAGTAGATATTATCTAGTATACCAAATTGATAACCAAACTGATTATTGATCAAAAAAATAACTAAACCGATAATAATATATCCAAAGTCATATGTATAATTAGAATAATGTAATATTTATTAATACAAATTATACATATAAATTGATTCAAAACTAAAACTAAATATCAATCAGTGATTATAAAATATTAGTTTTATGAATATTCATACCCGTGCATGAGCACGGGAAATCACTTAGTTTATTTATATAAAAGGACATTTAATCATATGCTTGTATCAGTACTTAGATTTGCTTAGTTATGTTATGCTGTTTCTTCATCCGCAAGACGAAAAAGCCTTCATCGTCGTCGTCTTCCTTATCGCCAGAAGGTGTGAAAAAGGGTAAAACGGGAAAGAAAGATGGAGGGATTCGTGTAATGACGTCAGGTACAAAGACCACCACGAGCAGGGCTTTTAGCCGCGGCAAAGGCTGTCTTTGTGGTGACGGTGGCGGTTGTGGAGGTTGCGGCGGTTGTGGTGGTTGAAGTGATTCGTGGTTGTGTATATATATGTAAGGGTTTCGTGTTCGTGTCATCGTAATGGTTGTTTACACGTAAGGTTTTTGTGATTATCTCCTGTGTGGGAAATAGATATCTGGATTCAAATCTAAACTGAACCCGAAATAATTCTAACTAAAGATAAATTAAAATTTGTAAACATTTGAATAAGATTTAAATTTCTAATTCTAAAAGTCTAAAATCTGAATAAACTAACTGAATCCGAATAAATGTATAAATATTCATACTTAAAAAGTTATACGATAAATTTATAAATAGAATGTATAATATATAATCTATTAGTTATTTCATTGTGCGCAGGTTATTATCTAATAGAAAGTTATAAAAGGAATCACCAGTATAAGCCTATCTCTAATGGTTTACACTATTTTTTTTCTCTAAAACAGAGTAATTCTATAATAGAGTTAGAAGTTTACTCCAATGATACTCTATTTTAGAGTAAAAATAGAGTGATGAACAAAAAAAATACAAGTTACTCTATATTTAAATTTTTATTTATTTTTCACTCTATTATATACTGAGATATAGTACCATTAGAACACTTTTACTCTAAAACTCTATTTTAGAGGGAAAAATAGAGTAGGTTTGAAGATGCCCCAAAACTTACATTTTGAAATTTCAAATGTTAATTAACTCACTCTTCTTACCGATTGGAAACTTTCACTGTATATATATCAAAATCTATATTTTGTGAATAACATACATGAAATGATAGAAACTCAATTACATCTAAAGACTATTAAATTTATTATATATATATATATATATATATATATATATATAGTTAGGGGCGAAGCTAGGAGATTTATCTCATGGGTGCACAAACTTGGGTTTTTCATGAGTGCATAAGGTAACATTTACCAACTAATCCAACAAGAATGTATTGTTTTTTTTAAACAAAAATTGAACTTTAAACATTATTATGGGTGCATAGACCCCTATTATAAGCTGGCTTCGCCATTGTATATAACATATTACATAATATTCTTGGGAAAATAGCATAAAAAACCTTCGAAGTGGCACTCACTAGCACTTTAAACCTTGAACTTATTTAATTAGCATATTGAACATTCAACTTGACATTTGAATCACAAAAAACCTTCAACTTGACTTACTTGTTCGTCAAGTTTAAATTGTGACTTGTTAACCTACATAGTAAGCTACATGTTGTTTTTTTTTGTTTTATTTAATTAATAAATACAATTAACAATAAAAAACTAAATAAAATTAGAAAATTACAGAAAAAAATCTAAAACTGAATTTAATAAAAACCAAAATATCTTCTTCAATTTTTTTTTTTTAACGTGTAAGTTTTCAAAAATATTTGTTTCAAAGTACATAAAAATTCAAAAATCTTAATTTAAAAAAAAATCAAAATATTGTCTTAAGAATTTACAAGTGTTTTATTTTTATTCTAAATGAAATTTTGTGATATATGAGTGTATTTTTTTTATAAACTATATCACTACTATTAAAAGGGAATGAGTCTTAAAAAATCTATCTATGAAAGTTGTTTAGACCTTTTTTTTTAATATTTTGGTCTTCCCCTTTATTTTCTCTAACCATACGAAATTATTATTAATGGTCATATTAATAGCAACTAAAGCAATTTTATTATCTCCATAGTTATATTAATGTTCCATCCACCCGCCCGAGACCAGCAAATAAAAATAATCATAATCTTTATCCGGACCTTACTGTAGAGTCGCTTATTAATCCTACTACGCGAAGGTGGAATAACCAGGCTATTCGGTTTCTTATAGATCCACAGGACGCAACACTTATTGAGAGTATACCACTTAGCAGGAATCAGATGGATGATCGGGATGGATGACATTTTACGAAAAATGGAAAATACACGGTGAAGTCAGGATATCAACTGAAACGGGTTTACCTGGATAAGGGGAGACAACCCCAAATTTTGGGACCCACAGTGGATTTATTAAAAGCACATTGTTGAAAGATTCGGTGTCCTCCGAAGATAAAACATTTTCTATGGCAGATATTATCGGGTTGTATAGCGGTTAAGAAAAATCTGAAAGCACGGGGACTACAAGGTGACACGTGCTGCGCCAGATGTGGGGATGAGGAGGAATCGGCTAACCATGTGTTTTTCGAATGCCCTCCAGCACGCCAAGTCTGGGCATTATCGAAGATACCCTCCAATCCAGAAAGGTTTCCCACTAGCTCTTTTTTTACAAATATGGACCATCTATTTTGGCTGGTGAGAGCACAGATGGATGACCATCATTTTGCTTGGATATTGTGGTATATTTGGAAAGCACAGAATAGC